AAGGCAGTCGCTTAACCAACTGAGCCACCCAGGCGCCCTAGAAAAGTTTAGTTTAAATAAAAAAAAACTTTTTTTGAAATTCCATATTGAAGACCTGCTTGTTTTATCAAAACGAGGTTTAAGATACTGTAGAAACATAAAAGGATGAGTACTGAGAAGCATTTGAAGAGTCAAAGGTTACTCAAGTGGTTAATATTAACCTTAGCATGTCTTTTCTCTTTTTCATAAGTTAGCTAAAAATTTTCCAAATTGCTTTAGTAAAACTGTGACAAGATAAAAATGACCAACAAGCAGGAAATAATATTTGTTTGTATATATATATTTATACACACACACATGTAAAAATATATTTTCGGAGAAAATCATGACATTCCCATAGTCAGAATTTTTAAAAATTGCTTTAGTTAATAAATGCCTTACTTATTATATTACCTACTACATTGTGTCAAAATGTATAAAAATGAACACAGTGAAGAATAAGCCTTTCCCACCCCAACCCAGGTACTCTAGTCCCTCCAGTTATCACTGTTACTACTCACTAATCATTGTCACCAATGTCTTGGGAGTCCTTCCAGAGATATACAATGCTTCTACACACAGGAAAATTATTTTGGATAGCAAGATGAATATGGGAAAGTAACTTATTTTTCATTCTACAGTCAGATTTTCCTTTTTCTGGGTTTCATGGAAGGAAGTAAAGATAGTTAAAAAAAATAAAGAGAATGGGAATTGAAGGTGTGAAATCAGACATGTTGAATAAGGAATTGGATTGTGTGGTCCAATAGACAAGACTCTCACCTATGGAGTGAGACTGGGATGGCGGGGGGTGAGGGGCGGAAGCCAACCAAAGGCAGTATCTGGGATGAGAGTGACAAGAGAGAGGAGGAAGGAGGGCATCATATAGCAAAGGTGAAGACATGTCAAGAAAGAAGGTCCTGGTAAGAAGTGAGCAGGTAACAGAGAAAGGATGGAACCCAGCATAGCACCCCCAGCTCACATGCCGCGTGGAACAGAACTCCAACACAAATGAGGATCATCATCTCCTCGGCTCATCCTACCTCATAGCTGCGCCTATCCTGGGAGGTCAGTTCAAAGCAGGACTCTTTCTTGGAATCTTTTCGCAGGTAGGGGGCCATCCGTACACTGTAGCCCTTAATGAGAAAGGTCCCTTTGGGCTGCTTGCCTGCAAGACAGGAAAGCTCCCTGTATCCCCAGAGAGATGCAACCACCGAGGGAAGGCATCTTCTCTGGAATGTAAAATAAAAGCATGGAAACAGCTGTTACATCCCCGAGGAAACACAACAGTCAAGGAAAGGTTATTAAGGAAGCTTAAGAAGAGGCTACTGTGACAGCGAGGCAGAGATCACTGCCAAGCTAGGGAAATGCAACATGAAAGGTTATTTTGCCAGAAGAGTACAACAGAGACAGAGAATTTATTAGAATGTTAAGAGATCTATAATAACAGAAGGAAGGAATTATTACAGCAGGGAGAGTGTGGCTGTAAATGTGAGGCTCTTGAAGGCTGTTAGAGAACTGTAGCATATTATCATCAGGGCTGGCAGAGCTCACATTTGAGGGGAGGGACAGCAGTGTGGGGGGCGTGATGAGTTCCCGGGATCTCTTCCTCTGCCCTATGTAGCATTTGGGCTAGACTGCTCTCCCCCTCCTGCTGGCCAGGTCGGAATTGGTGCTAGAGGGAGAATAATTAAATCTCAGTATTTTATCCCCCTTCCCAGAGGTCAAATTGGGAAGTAGTACTGTTAATTATCATTGGGCGATGAAGAAGGAAGAACAGGATTAAGGGAAGGCAAGGAGAGACCACTCTGTCTGTCGCTCCCCTTTTTTTTTTTTTTTAATAAACTATTAGGAATGGGAAAAGAGGATCTTGTTTCCAATGATTTTGTGTCCTCCTGGTGTGGTTCAGGCAGAACATACAGAGGAGTGGAACCACAGTGTCTGGGTGATGATTTGTGTCCTGTATCATGTGCAATGGATTGTTTAATACATGCTTTTTGAGGATGATGATGATAAGGTGGCAGTGGGATGACAGTATTAGGAAAAGAAAAGAGAAAAACTCTATCCTTACCTGGTTGAGCTAAAAGAAATACACAAACACTCTATACTTGCTAAGAAAAATGTCTTGGGCACAATAAGAAGTAACTGGCAAGAAGGGAGCCATGCAACAGTGCTTTTTGACACCAGAATCTTTTTTGTTAAAGTATCTCTCCTTGTTCTAACTGGCCACTAAAATGTTTTGTTGTTTCTTTGGTCACCAGGTTTTATTTCACCCTGACGGCAAAATGGTCCATAAAAGTCTCCACGTCTCTCCCTCTCCCACTCTCTCACCTTGAGTATAGAGGATTCTGAATGATTGAACATGATACCTGGCTTTATGTTCAGATATGCCAAATACTTATTTAATGCAAGGGAAATGAAGAACATTTTTACAATGATGTAAATGTTATATGAGTTTGAAGGTTTAAAATAAGAAAATAGTACCTGGCTGGCTTGTACACCTAGAATTCAGGGAAGAAATTGTGGTTGCTGGGCTGGAGAGTGGTCTGGGGGTTGGACGGAAGCTGGGGATGGTTTTGAGCTATGCGGCTATGATTGCCAAGTAGTGCTTCACACTTCACCCCTACATGGGAAAGTCTCCGAGGAATATAAGAGGGTGAACCCAAGATGAAGTCAGTGATACCTGTGGTAGGCAGAAAAGCAGGGTGAGCCAACTGCCTTAAAGCCCAAGGGCAAATCTTAAGGATCCCAAGTCATTTAGCAAAGTTGCAGTTCTTTCTGCTATCTTAATACCAAAGGTATGGGAAGTCCAAAGGCAATTGGGTAGATATCTGATTATTCCCTGGGACTGGATATCTAGGCATTGGGAGATGCATAATCCTAGGAAGGAAGGAAGAGGGGAGAAACAGGGAATGACTGGAAGGAAAATGAAGGGTTTACTCGGAATAACTGGCCTCTGTGCCAGTTGGGAAAGCCCCCACAAGAACTGATGTGTTGCTTTTTTAATTTCTCTCTTGCTTCATAGAATTATTCCTGGGGCTAGTTAGAGTCTGCAGGAGGGTGTCCCCTCTTTGAAAGTTTGTGTTCACTTACAATGATAATTTTTAACTTGTATTTAGTTGTAGCTGCCTCCAACTTGTGCTTATATCCTGTTCCTTCTCATGAACTTAGCGACACGGTTAAGCATGGATGGGAGGTCTTTTAGGGATCGCATATGAGTGTTGTGCTTGATTGACTCAGTGGTGGCTCATTAAGAAGCTGCCTCTGGCCTGAGTCAACACTTCACTGCTGCTGCCATCTGGCTGGAGGGTGTCTCTTGGGCACAGCAACCATTTGGGTCTCAACACTCCATGACTCTAGGGATGTCCACTGGACTACTTCCCAGTATGCAGTGAGATAAAGTTGAGAGCATATTCTTAGAGAGTTTGGACCCAAGGGTTCTATTTCTGGGCTGTTGGTAAGCTGTTCAAATCCTTCTCAGATTTTTTCTCAATATTTTAACTATATTATTAACATCTATAAAGAGTTTGAGGTTCTTGGGGCGCCTGGGTGGCTCAGTTGGTTAAGCATCTGCCTTCGGCTCAGGTCACGGTCCCACAGTCCTGGGATCGAGCCCCGCATCGGGCTCCCTGCTTGGCGGGAAGCCTGCTTCTCCCTCTCCCACTCCCCCTGCTTGTGTTCCTTCTCTCGCTGTGTCTCTCTCTCTGTCAATTAAATAAATAAATAAAATATTAAAAAAAAAAAAGAGTTTGAGGTTCTTAAAAAAAAAATGCCAAAGTGTTCAACCTTGATAATATTATGTTATTAGTCATAATAAAAGATAACTTTTTAACATTTTATTTTTTTAAAGATTTATTTATTTGAGAGATTTATAAGATCTAAAGAGTTTATTTGAGAGAGAGTGAGCACGTGTGTCCACGTGAATAGGGGGAGGGGCAGAGGGAGAGAACCTTCAAGCAGACTCCCCGCTGAGTGCAGAACCCCACCTGGGGTTTTGATCCCATGACCCATGAGACCATGACCCCTGAGATCATGACCTGAGCTGAAGCCAAGAGTTGGACGCTTAACCGACTGAGCCACCTAGGCACCCCAAAGATAACCTTTTGATATGCTGACCACACGATCCTAGTGTTTAAAGGGGAAATAATTTCTAAATTGGCATCTGAGTTTTTGGGGATGGGCGAGGTATTACTTACCCAAGTCTCTTTCTTTCCCAAGCATGTCCCTTTATGGGTGTTAGTTAAAGACTGCTATCTTGAGATCTAAGTGCTTGAGAATTTACGAAGTGCTTGCATCCAGGAGGGAGATGCTGCTGTGCAAATGAAGAACACTTACTTTTCTCATTAGCATAGTAGTAGAAGAGGCCTCTGCTGACCACACACCATCGCTTCTGCCACTCTGATCCAAAGAAACTATGATCTAAACGGAACAGCGGTAAGGGACATAAATTCAGGTAGCTACAATCACTGACGAGTCTGTAAAGTCCAACACACAGTCCAGTGTGTTATTGTTTTATTTCCTAGGTTAATGGACTGTAAACTCCTCCCTTTCACTCCCACAGGCTATCCCATATTGACTCAGAGTCCAGAGGGTTCGCTCAGTTAAAGGTCCAAATTCTAAACAGGGTTTGCCTGTTCTGGCCCTCACGGCAGTCCCACTATCTATCTTCCTTTATGGCTCTCGGGTTCTAATCTCATTCAGTACTTTTAAAATTCTCTGTGATACTTTCATGTGGTGCCTTTTAGCAAACCTAGCTGATGCTCCAGGCCACAGGCATGAGAAAGGCTTTCATTGTACTAAGGCAATTTGCCTTTTGAGGGTTAAACCTGGGACCCCGGGCTTAGTTAGGGTAGCAGTATCTATTTTAATCCAGTGAGTGACAGGTCGAGAGTCAGGCTCCTCTGAATTGTGAAACTGGGTTGCTTCACACAGGATGTAAAATTACACTTCGGCAACATAGTTTTACTCTACAGGAGCATACTGAGAGATGAGAACAAGAATATCATCACTCATTCATTCAACAAGTATTTTTATTAAGCACCTGTTGTGTACCAGGTGAACAAAGCAGAACGGGTTCCTATGCTGATGAAGCTCACAATCGGCTGAAGATTTTGGGGCATCTCTCTTCAGCCTATGCACAAACACCAGATTTCTTTTCCTCTCCCACCTTCCTTTTGGCCTTCCCCCTCCTGAGCACAGAACTGGGCATAGAAAAAGCACCTGCTATGTTAGCCCTCTTTTTCCTCATTTCCCTTCCCTTCCTGGAATGTTCTGAGACTTGTGGGTCTGGTCAGTACCTTTGCTTTTCTTCTCCAAGTATCCTTGCTTGATGATGTTATCAAGTTCTTGAGCTCCTCTTATGATGTCTTCCACTCCTAAAAGGAAAACAGCAGAATGCGCTGTTGAAACCTGACAGAATTTTCATTTATTTAGGTTCCTTTAGATGTTCCACATTAATGAAGGGGGTGCAGAAGGGCAGCTGCTTAAACACAGCACAAAATAAAACAATTTTTATATGATTGGGGGGAAAAGGTAAATTTTCTCTTCCTAATTATATCTAATGCTAAAATCACTTATAATGATTGATACCTACATTAGTTTGTGCAAGAGGAAGTAGCCTAAAATATGTATGGATTGGCAAGAAAAGGACTCTAGAGAATTAAGAATTTGCTGTGGATTATAAGCTCCAAATTGGATAATCCACATCGAGATAATCAAAAGTCAAATGAATAGCTACCAGCAGAAAGAAGCTTAATGAGTGATAGAGTTCACCATGAATGCAGCCACGTCCGTGAGAGCAATAAACACACACTCACTCTTTTTTTTTTTTTTAAAGATTTTATTTATTTATTTGACAGAGAGAGAGATAGCGAGAGCAGGAACACAAGCAGGGGGAGTGGGAG